TCGACTCGGTGGATGTGTACTCCATTGGTTGTCAATAGTGATAACACGTATATTATAGTGTACATACAATAATTAAAACTTCAACATAATTGTAAAAGAATTACGATTCAGTTGAATTTTTATTACAAAATGTTTGAACCTAATATGTAAGTTATAAAACGTGACATAATACCTATCTTAAGAAAATTCTTGTGTCACACAATGCCATTCACAAGAGGCAATTTTTCTACAAAAGTTTACCTTTAAATATTTTTCTGTAATTTGGGGATGAAACTTACCTTCAACCACCTTGTGCGGCTTCTCTTACATTCAAACGGGGAAGTTGTTACGAGGGGTTGTCGGTACTTATAAATGTTACGTGAGACGGTCATGATGCAGTGCATGCATCTGTGAGACTTGTTACACTTATGCGAGAAAGAAGCGATATTATATTGTCTTAAGACGTTACCCCTAGCGAAAGACTGAGCGTTCGGTCCTATACAATCCACGCGCTCTCGCTTCAATACAGGGTGGGCCATAAGTTTTTTTACTTTTCAAACTAAATTAAAATGAAAACTAATTACATCAGGTGAAAAGCGTTTATTAATTATAGAAACACATAAAAAGGGAATTTATTTTTTTTAAATTACATCATCCATATGTGTTCCTTCATTATTTTGGCATTGCTGTAACCTGGAGCGAAAATTTTCATTGACGGCCTGACAAGTGTTCCGAGAAATGTTTTGCATTTCCTCGCGAATACGTTGCTTCAATTCCGCAACAGACACGGGGTTGGTCTCAAAAACTTTACTTTTAAGGTATCCCCAAAGAAAAAAATCCATTGGGGACAGATCCGGGCTGCGAGGAGGCCAGTTAATATCGCCTTTTTTGGATATCACTTTTTGGCCAAAAATTTCTCGAACTCAATGAGTTATTGGTGGTGAACATGTTGCCCCGTCTTGCTGAAACCACGATCGTTGATTAAAACCATCAAAATTTTGTAGCTAGGGAGCAAAAAAATTTTGTAACATGACTATATACCGCTCTGTATTCACTGTAATAGTGCGTCCCCTTTGGTCTTCAATAGGGACCTATAATGCCTCTTGCTGACAAAGCTGCCCATACAGTAACCTTGGGTGAATGCAGGGGTGTTTGATGCTTCAATTTTGGATTATTGTCACTCCAATACCTGCAATTTTATCTGTTGACATCCCCGTTAACGTGAAAGTGTGCCTCGTCTGAGAAAAAAATGTTGGTAAAGCTGATAAATCTCTCTAGCATTTCGTTGGCAAACTGCAGCCTGGTAGCGTGATCTTGAGGCATTAATGCCTGTACCATTTGGATTTTGTACGGATGAAAACGTAAACCTTTATGAAGAATGCGGTTTAAAGACGTTCTGGGCACATTTAAGACGCTAGACCGCTTTCGAGTAGAGAGTCTCAGTTATTCACGAACAGACGCTCTTACACGTTCCACATTTTCGGGATCTCTTGATGTCCTAGGTCGGCCGGATCTTGGTTGTTTTAACGTTGAACCTGTCTTTTCGAATTTCTTTACCCAACTCTTAATCAACTGAATCGATGGAGCTTCATTTTTATGGCGTATATTGTAATGATTACAATATTTGTTGTGTTGCGATATTGTCAAAGAATCGTTATTTTTGTATATTCGCGTACGCAGAACGCACGTTGTGCTCCGGTGAAGGACGCCACGGGCCACGGCACTAAATTCCCATCGGCCGCTCTTTCATTTCGTAACCCCCCGACGCAACTACCGATTCAAAAGTTAACGGACTTTTGGTCCAACCTGTATATCGCGTAAAAATACGCCAGAATATTTAGAATTATTTCAATTAAAAAAGATAAGCGAACTTAAGAAATTAAATAAAACGTGTAGAATATAGATTTTTAAATTATCTATCCATTAGTGTAATCCTCAAATGATTAGAGCGCTTCCTTTAGCAACAGATGCATATAATCAATAATTTTAGTCATTTTTTAAAAGTAGATTTTAAATGTATTCATAACACATAAAAACGAATTAGAACGTGGAATGTGATGATAGGATATCGAACATTAATAATGTTCTTTTAGATGTAGCTTATTTCTCATAACTAATGAGATAATAGTCTCTGAAAAACGCACTTTTGCAAGGTTTTGGTCAGGGTACCGCCTTAAGCATCAGCGCAGTTGAAGCGGGAGAAAGCTCTCTTCAACTCTCCGTCACCGGTGCGCGTTTCTATATAATATTATGTGTAGAATTTAATTTTAGTTGGCGGGTATCGGGGTGTACACCGAACCGGACGCCACCTGTCTCGTTCCTTTGTTTCGGCTCGCTAATGTCAGTGGAGGTCATCTAAATAAAAGCTGTATAGGCGTCGGATTCGGATCGCGATCGCTGTCTAGACGTTGCGTTGCATCGTCCGATCGATTGCACGGACGAGCCTCAGACGGTCAATGACCCCGCGGGCGCATCGGTGACGTTACGCTTCGGTGATGCGCTCCTCCATAATCTTACGAATGTTTAAGGTGTCTTGGTCTTTCGTGATTTAACGGGTGACACTCAATCCGTAACATTTCTATCATCGGCTACGTCGCGATGGACACCTGATCTCTGTGCGTGAATGACTTTGTAAATTCCAGGTACAAATCTGTATCTACCTGATCCCTTACTTTTTTTTCCTAAAAAAAAAGTTCTTTCAATTGTGTCCAGTAATGTAATATACGTTTTTGATTCGACAAAAGCCAACCAGTTCAAATTTTGGCTTTGACTGAAATCATAAAAACATTTTGTTTGTTCGGTGCGTGTTCCAATGTCGAAGTGATGCTTGGCGCAAAAAAAGCTTTCGTGCTCTTTATCTTTGTTCCGCACACATTTGGGTCCCTGTTGTAAACGGCTTTCAATTTTTTTTTATATCTCTATTCTTGTTTCTTCATTATTTCGAAAGTCTAAATGCTTTTTAAAATCGTTGATATATTAAAACGTGCTTGAGTTACTTATGTAGTTACTTAATGAATGTTCGTTCTATAACTAATGTCAATGTGATTCGCACACCTATTCCACTAAGTTAATATAGTTTTAATTGTGATAACCAGGTATAAAAGACTAGACTAAAGTACACTAAAATTTATCATCTTGTCATTTCATGGTTGTCAGTGTAGTATCATAGTTCCATTATATTATGTTTAAACTCCCATAGACTTCTGAAAAGCACTATTTTCAACCACCTGAATCCATAGACCCATTGCATGCTTCTTTAGCTCATTACCGTCTAGTAACGGTTTGAACTGCATTTTTTATTTTTATTTTATAGGATAGGGTGACAAACGAGCACACAGTCCACCTGATGGTAAGTGGTTGTTGCGGTCCATAGACATCTACATGTATCCTCGATTACAAAACAAAATGCAGATGCGTTGTCATCCGTGAGGACTAAGATGGAATGCCTCGTTTTCAGTAAAAAAGGGTCTCCGGTTCTCTACACTCACCATACGAAATACAGCAGCATTAAGCTACTATTTCACGCTGGTATTCTGTGAGAGCGTGATCCTTCCCCGGTTGAGGCGACCCATTCATGCTACAACGTAAAACTGCTCTATACTGCATATCTATTACTTAAAAATGTTAATAAATATTAAGGATGACGAGTAAGCAATGTTATCTAGATATCTAGTAAAAAAACCAAATCATCTTGAATAACGCCTTGTTAGTGGTGTACCTGTTTAAATACTGTTTGTCAACTCGTGCTACATTATTTACGCTACCAATCTTGTTGCAGGTTCTAGCATTGACTTGCTACGTACAAGTTATTTAAGATTTAAAGTATAATTTTAGTGGACATCTTTGATCGATTGTACATCAATGATTCACTTTATAAGTATCACTTTATAAGTAATCTTAAATCTAGGCGTTTTCCTCATAGAATATTATAATTATGTATGTATTATAGTATTCTATGGTTTTCCTGCTAAATTATGTTCGGTGCAATGGGTTGCATCCACTTTGCGCTATATACCTAGCTAGAGTATTAGTGAGGAAATTGCATTGCATATTCTTAACCCTGGTATGCCCAGTATGTACATCACCCCATAACCCTTGGAAAAAGTGTGCTGTAAATTTTAAATCAATAATTATGTATAAATTGGATAATATTTGAATAAATATTGTGACTTCAACAAAACTGTAATTATATATTGACCAAACCTTTATATTATACCTACCCCATAATCTATAGGGTGGTGTATATAGCCGTAATTTATGTTTATGAGTTTTGCCATCGACTTTAATGAGCTGTAATGAATGAAAAAAATGAATGTGCTGTATGTGTGTATGTCAATGTCATTATGTGATACTACTATATTTTTTAAGGATGACAAACGAGCACATAGTTTACCTGATGGTAAATGGATGCTGTGGCCCGTACACATCTAAATTTATCCTCGTTTTAAAATCAAAATGCAGAAGTGTTCTCACCCCTTAGGACTAAAGCATTCACATTACGATTTCACATGAAGTTGATATTTTACTTTAGTATTCTGAGAGAGCGTGGTGCGGCCCCGGCCGAACCCACCTATTCGTAATACAACCATAATGTAAGCTTCAGCCTGGCTCTACCACGTATAATAATATTTTAACATTGATATTCATACAAATTTAACACTATTATGTTTTTCTGAGTATCTATGCGTTTATAAAACTGTTTATTTTATTTCTGTTGTTAAGCAACATGAATTTTTTATATTATTAAAGATATTAATCAAAGATGATATTGATTAAAGCCACATCAACGGCCTATTGCTTTGTTTATGATAATGAAAGTTAAAGTAGCTTCGTTCTAATCAGCTGATTATAAAATGTATGTTTATATGTGTTAAAATTTGCTTTAATGGAAAATAATAGTAAAAAAAATTAGACGAACGAACCCTGAGAAACACCGGGTAGCAAAAGTGGTATGGTATGTTTTATCGTGACGACGAGCTCGGTGGTGGTTCGTTTGCACCAGGGCTACACGGGCGCTGCAGATGGCGCTGTATGTGTCGCCGGGGTTTTCCCGTGCGGCAGATGCGCACCTGCGGCTGGCGCTGATGTTCAAGGCGCGGCGGCACTGGGCGGCGGCGGCGGTACACTTCAGACGCGCGCGCCTCGCGCCGCATCAGGACGCCACCTTCACGCGTCTAGAGCTCAGCTTCCACGCCGCTCATTTACTCGAAGCGAGAGGGCTAAGAAAAGCGGCACGTGATGCCTACGAGCGTCTCTTAAAAGAACCTAAGCTGTCGTCGTCGTTGAAGGCTGATGTGTGCCGGCAGTTAGGTGAGTTTTCTGGTATTGATATCCTTGAAAACATTTTTTTAGTATTTCTCATTAATTGTAGACTTTATAAAGTCAGGGATTGTCCATTAATTCGAATCTTACCTAATCTCACGTAGATAGAGGTTGGGTCTCGGAAAATGTCAAGAATTTTTTTCCTCAAGAAACAGTACCTATATAATTTTAACAGGTTAAAAATATGGCTAAATCCTACTCGATAATATTTATCGCAGTTGTGCAAACCCCACAAATTATATTTAAAAAATTGTGCAACTAATTCTTTTTTTTTTTTTTTAATAAACCCAACGCAATCAAGAACAGATAAAACGTACTTAGACTAAAAGTACGTATTTTAAATCTCACGTGAGATATGAGGGAGGGAGAGGAGGTCGAGCCATGTCTCACAACCGCTCACGATATCTCACTGGGGGGACGGGGAGGGTAGAAAAACTCGGAAAAATCGCCTCACGTAATTAATGGACGCCTCCTTATCGAAACAATGTTTTGATATAATAAATTTTGTTACAAGCTTTAAAGGCTTAAACTGTAATTAAAAAAATCCAACTGCGTGCAAAAGTTTACTGAAAAAAGAAAATATACGCTATGTCACTTCCACAACAAAAACGAATCTAACGATATTCAATACATAGGTATATATACAAGGGCCATTAAGCCGTTTATGATACAGGGCGTGTTAAAGAAATAGACACACATGCACTTGAAAAACATTACCCTCCTTTTGGAGCGGTCGGGTAAAAAAGGGGCACAAACAGGTGTAAACTTATTTAAAAAGTCTGTAATCAAATTGTAAAAAATAATAAATAATACACAGAGAAGCAAACTCAGTTATGCACGAGAAATAAATAAAACTTATCTTTATATAGATTAGTTCTAAAGTAATTAAGTCAAGTAGAAAGTTTTGAAAATATTTCAACAAGTAGGTATGACAAAGTCACTTACGTAACGTAGTCGGTTCAAACTTGTAATAGAGCATAAAATATAAACATTACCCCGTTTTAACGTCCGGCGTCGACGCCCGCGCCAACGTCAACCGGGTATGACCTAATGCGATTCCTCATAGAGCTCGCTGCGGAGCTGGTTTTATCAAGATAAACATGCTTTATTACGGATGAGAAACGTGTAGCCACCAAACTAGTTCTCTTCCATCACTTTTTTACAGGACTGCAATGGTCGGTCGGAAATGAAAGCATATACGAGTATTAATTATGCTTGCTATAGGTGTCAGCTGTAATAATGACAATTTAAATTACCACGCAACAGTTTTAATGTGCCTTTTTAGACTTAACTGTGAGTGAAAATTGGGATATACATATATTAGATAACTACCTACTAGTCTAAATAAAAAATGTTTTGACAGAAAACACTAGTGTTGTTACAGTATAAAAGTATTCATCGCCATACTTAATCCCATGTCGGGACTTGACAAAACATACATAAACACTCACGCCTGTCACCCAGAGGGGTAGGCAGAGACTACAGACTTCCATTTGGCACGATCCTGACACACCTCTCGCCTCCTTCACATCCATATAACTACGCATACATGCTCGTCGGTTAAGGATACTCCTAATTTGGCCCGTTTTCAATAAATCGCCAATTTGGTCGATAAATTTTCGCCTAGGACGTCCCTTTCCGACTCTGCCATTTGACAAAAACATAGTTTTTTTGTCAAGTCGCGGTAGAATATATCCGTCGACGTTAATGTTTGGCATAGTTTGAAGAACTAGAGTATATTGCAATTGAATTAGGTTGGTTGTACCACCGCTGTGCATCACTGGGTGAAGCACCAGCTCGGGCCCGCGCGGCCGTGTGGTGCCTTCAGCGGGCCGTCGCGGCGGAACCGGACTCGGGCGCAGGCCTCTACTTACTGGGCCGCTGCTTCGCCGCGCAGGGCAAGGTGCATGATGCTTTCATCGCCTACAGAAACTCTGTCGAGAAGTCGGAAGGCAACGCTGATACGTGGTGCTCTATTGGGTAAGTATCAACTTCGAATGTTGTGTAGAATGACACTTTCATCAGTCCGCATATTATAAAAAGTTTCTAATGTAATATTCGTCGCGCTTGGTTGGCATATTTGCAATTGAAAGAAACCACAACTACTTTCACGAAACTTATATAGGTATTCCAATTACAAAATTATTAGACCGTAAACGGATATATTAACGTCATAATAATTATCAGCCTCAATTAAGGCTGAAACAGACTGGTGTGTCCCACAGGGTGCTCTACCAGCAACAGAACCAGCCGATGGACGCGCTGCAGGCGTACATTTGTGCGGTGCAGCTGGACAAGGGGCACTCGGCCGCGTGGACGAACCTCGGCAGTTTGTACGAGAGCTGCCAGATGGCCCGCGACGCTTTCGCGTGTTACAGCAACGGAGGTTCGGCGGCCGTCGCAGCGCACGCGCCGCTCAGGCAGCGCCTCGCCTTCTTGCGAGCGCACCTCGCGCACGCGCCCATGCCGTCTGTTACGGGCAAGTGAGTAACTGCCTTTATACCCTATTAATATAGTTCCTTTCTTATTTTTTAGAGCAATTAACTTTATTGTTTTCTGCCATATTTCGCAGAAAATTTGTTTATGAGGTAAACATTTGAAACGAAAACAAAATCGATACTTATTAAGTTTTGTTGTAATAAACCCTGCTGAACGTTTAGACCAAAAATTGAAGACATATTAATGGAACGGATAGCAAAAGAAATGCGTTTTTTGTAATATAGAAGAAACTAGTAATTTTAAGAAAAATCTTATCAGAAAATAATCATACAAACCCAAAAGCAATTTATACACGTTATGAAGGTTTTTTTTTTATAAATTTCCTTCCATTTCTTCTCAAACAATTGCATAACAAATCACGGAAAATTTTAATAGAGGCATTCATGCGTCCCTGACCTATAAACACTATTTCATTAATTACGTCAGTATTAAGGCCTCCGTTGGGATCACACACGAAGGATTGTTGATTAAAACCTATTACGGTTCATTTAGAATTTGATATAATTTCTTTCGCTTCTATTTACATTATGGGTGTCCATTGGCACGGCCGTTTTTAGAGAAAAAACATTTCTCTGTGTGCTTAGGTTATTAAAATGTTTAATACTAACAAAATAAGTGCTATACGCAGATATTTATCACTGTTATACTTTTTGTCGTATATAAAGGTGCACTAATCTGGTATTTATAAACATGAATCGTACTTCGTGTTGCAGTATAAGTGCTAATGCTCTTTGTTTTCATTGTTCGCATTTTAGCGAAGCATATTAAAATTTGGTAAACATTATGTTGAAGTATAAAATTTACTAATTTTTTTAATTTGTAATTTAATTGGGCGTTCAAAATAATATCGCCATTAAGCCGACTGTGAAAAATATTCTACAATGTAAAAAACTTCTACTAAGTGTGTGTTTGGTGCACGCGCAATATACGTTTCCGTTATGCAGAAATAACACAACGCCACGCAAGGCATTTTTATCCTTAGTGTTTTCTTAAGTTCAGCACTTAGTTTTAGTGTTCAAATTAAGTTCAGCTATAATTTTAATCAAATACATTTAGTACATATTTTAGTTGCAATTATTAAGAAAATAGGGGCTAATAATTTTGCATGCATTTCTATTGTGCTGACAGAACAATATTAAATGTATTGTTTTAGTGATGTTTTTTTTATAGGATACCTTGACAAACATGTGATAAGTGGTTACCCCATATTAATCTATCCTCGATTACAAATCAAAATGCAGATGCGTTATCATCCGTGGTGACTAAGAAAAAGGGTCTCTGGTTCTCTACACTCACCTTACGAAACACAGCAGCATTAAGCTACTATTTAGTGTCTACTGTATAGTGTAGGAGTAACGTCTTGTAAAAAAAATTAAAAATTAAATTAAAATTAAATTTCACGCTGGTATTCTGTGAGAGCGTGGTCCTTCCCCGGTCGAGCCGACCCATTCGTGCTACAACTATACTACTAATATAACTGCAGCATGGCTCTACCACGTATAATAAAGGTGTAAAAAAAAACATTAATTATTTTTACAGTTGACTCTAGTGTCGGGGTAAGAGTATCCATTACCTACCCCATAGCATCGAATGATTCCAGTGGGTGTCGTGAAGCGACAGAGGAAAACAAATTAGGAGATGGGCCTGCTGCAGCGTCTTACTAATAACGAATAAACGCGGTTGGCCAACCCGCTTGCCAAGCATGGCAAATATCTCCCTATTGTAGTGGTGGTAGTAGGCAATCTCTAGGTGAGGCCTATTTTTAGCTGTGGACTTTAATAGGCTGTAACGATAACAAGTGCTCATGTGTCAGCTTAATAATAATATTAATAGTCAAATGGATATTACTTTTCTTTGATAAATAATAAAAAATAAGTGTGGCACTCGGTGACTGCCGCGGTAAAGCTATTGCATAGCATTTTTATCAACTTATGTAATTATAATTATTTATTTATTTTATTTATGCAGTTAAGTCTTTGATATTAAATCAAGTTACACTTTTTGAGCGTGGTGACCGATAAGAAAACAATTTTTTTTTCTCTTAGAGAAGTTAATATTCTTTAAAATATTTTTAATATCTTACAATACATGTAGGTTATTCAGGAATTTTTATCATTGAGTTAGCAGCTAGTGTACACGCATACGCCTAGTCGCACGCACACAAACACCGTGCCGAAGTCTGCCGAGTGCCGAAGTCTGCCGAACTGAAACGACGTTAGACGATGCACGGCTTTCAACGCCACACCACCGTGCCACCGGAGTGGGGAGCGTGAGGTTTTTTTCGTTACGGAATTTCTGTATTCGGTCCCAATAGCTTAATATGAATTACAGATATATAAATATGTATGTACATATTGGAGTAATTTCCCACCGACTGTTTTTTCAAGCAATTACAATGCGGGTGTTTTGAAGGCAAGAGGCATTCGTTACCGTTAGCCAGTGAGCTCTGTCGCCCCGGCTACATGTCTTGCTTGAAAAATTCAAGAGGGTTAGTGTCTAAGCATTGTCGAATATTCTGTGTTGCTTCATTCCGAACCTCTAGCAATAAAAATTAATTAGGATATCGAACGCGTTCCGAACCAAACAGTATTCACGCATAGTTTCCCCTACGGCTATGACAAATTTACTGCTAGCCAACATTGACAATGCCATCGTCCTTTTCAATGCCAGAATCACTCTTCGTTGAATCATACTTTAACAAGTGGCCGGGCTTCCGTTTACTATATTCACACGCTCCAGTAAAAAGTAGGTCGCTGTTTACGTTTATTTGAGTGACATGTGTACGTATAATTGAATTAAAGCTATTTTTTGGTAGAAAATGAATAAAGTGCTTACATGTTAGTAATGTGGTAGATACTTATGTAGTATGCGTATTATTGCGTATTCGTTACAGCTTATTAAAGTCCATAGATTTCTCTTAGGGGGCAAATATTGTTATAGTTGCCGCGATTGGCAAGCAGGTTGGCAACTGTAGTTTTTTTATTTTAAGATGTAATTAGGAGACTGATTTACTTTTAGCTCTGTCGCATCTTACGACACCGACGAGATGTATGGGTTAGTGAATATTCTTGCACCGCCACTACGCCGTTATTATGCCATAAATTTATTAAGATTACAATTAATTTATTAATTTATTAGATTTTTTTCTTTTAACCCTTCAATCTCTAAGCGGTCGAATTCTACCGCGGCGCTATTCCGTCAAAAGTCAAGCGGTCGGAATTGACCGCGCACACCCACAGCACTTTAAACCATTAAAACTTATGGTTAGAGACTACTTTTCTATGAAGGAGTTTGGCATTATACATAGAATTAATATGAAATTTTCTATACTCTAGTGCAATAAAAAACCGTTATACTATGGATATTTATTTATAATCCACGTTCATTTCGTACGCCATTTTCGCGTGAATGTTATTGTGTTGATTTTTGGATTTTTCTAGTGTTTTATTAGTGTTTTGGTATAGTGTTTTGTTATAAAATTGTAATGAAAGTTTTTGTATAAATATAATTTATCTTTTAACGTAAATAATTTCGAGTAATATATATTGAAATAATTGAGATTTTCACGCTGCATTCGCTTGGTATGTTTTGTTTTTGCTATCAAGTTGTAATAATTAAACTTGACTTTTATATAGAGAATTTTTTAATACCAAACTTCTTCATAGAAAAGTAGTCTCTAAATATAAGTTTTAATGGTTTAAAGAGCTGTGGCTTAGTGCGGTCGTATGCGACCGCTCGGGACTTGACGGACGCATGCGACTGTAGGGGAATTTTAAGGAGACTGAGGGATTAAGTCTTGTCTTAAGAGTTTCACGTATTTATTATTAATATTGAAATTGAATATTTGTTGTTTTAATAGAAATAAGATAATAGGTATCAGAGCGTTGCGCATGATGGAGATAATGTGGAATATGACTGTTTCCTATTTCATCTATCGACTTAACTTGCTCTCGGTGCATCATGCGGATTTATGTACGAGACCCTTTCGACCTACTCATGGTGGAAAATCTGTGTAATAACTAATAACGCTGACCTAAATGCATTTTAATTCTCTATTTGCCTAGCAACGTGTGTGGTGGGTAAATTTTTTATGAAAAAATTTATAAATCGATAGATTTTGGTTTAGCTGTGTATTAAAAAAATTCTATGTTATTGTGAATACTTTGAGATACATTATTAATAAATAAACATATTTAATATAGTACAGTGAGGTTATTTATAGTGCTTTTACGTCGTAACATAAAAATAATAGTATTTTTTTTAAATGTTACGATATAAAAGCACTATAAGAACCTCATTAAACTGTTATAAATAACACAACACTAATTGGCACAAATGAGCGTGCATATTATTTTCGTATAAAATAGTTTTGTACGACAAAATGTTCGTTCAGACGGCGTCAGTTGCCGTCGATCGAGGAGGCGTGGAACCTGCCTATATCTGCGGAGATGTCGTCCCGCGCGCCCAAGTCCGCGCCGCCGCCGTACCCCGGCAAGCGCGACGAGGCGGCGCCCGCGCCCGCCGCCGCGCCCGCTCCCGCGCCCGCCCCGCTGTCGCACCACCAGCTGCAGACGCTGCAGTACCTGCAGCGCAACGCGCACAACCTCTCCCCGCAACAACAAGTACACCGCCATTAGGCTTAGCACGCACTGGGATTAAACGCACGGTCCGTCTGAAACCGCAAAAAAATTTAACGCATGGCTTTCTATTGAAGCGCACGCATTAGCGACTTATTTCAGTGACTGATTTTAAAAACGTTACTTGCTACATTTTGATCGCGGTTTGTAAACGCGCGATTTTTATGTGTTCCATAGTAACAGTATGGCGGCGCACGCACTGCGGTGAACCGCATTCGGTTTCGACTAGACGAGCGCAGAGGACAGTCGTTTTTTTTTGCGGTAGTAGTTAGTAGCAAAAGTATCCTTTCAGATGTCTTTGATATATTAGAGAAGTACCCAGTACTTATGGCAGCGCCGTTGTTTACGTTTTCTATTTTTAATTTAAAAACCAAAGCCACAACACACGCTACTCGCCCGAAATCCATGACGGTACTGAAATAAAATTAAGCAAAACTCCAGCCTCAGTGCGTGATTGTATGCGGTTTTGCATTTTCAGCTATTCCTAAACCGCTCGCGTTTAATCGCAGAGCGTGCTAAGCCTTAAACTATTTCAAAAAATCTATTGCTGTGTGTGTTTGAGTGGATCCCTGGATGGTTTGGATTCCCAGTTACACCCGATTGGTGTTGCTGCTGTCCAGATCCAGAAATGACCCTTGCGAAGCCCGGGTGAATTGCTGGTTCTATAATAATAGTAGGTAACCAGTGCTTGAACTTTTGACCTTAATTCGTTATATTTTAAAGTTTGAATATTAAGCAGGCTTTATTTCATTTTCAACTGCACATTAATATATAAAACAGATATTTAATGTGCAAAATATAAAAGAAATACTTTTTATGCCTTGACATACAACTCCACATACTATTAAATAAGGAATATTTTAAATCAAATTCAAAATTCACAGCTCATTCAGTCAAACTGTTAGTAATTATTTTTATCGGCCACATTTTAAAAAATTTTGACAACAATATCTTCTCTATGCAACTGTTGACCACAGAGTATTTAGTGTTTGGCATTGGTAGTACCAACGTAAACAATTAATGCTTTAATTAATTTAATTAAATATAAGAAATAAAACTTATGTAATAAAACATATAGATAAATTTAAGCTTTCTGCACTTCTGCATTATATCTTTAACCATGCCAAAAATCTCACAATTCTTCTGCGCGCAATACGCTTATAAATGGATGCAAGTTTTCTTCGCGTATTTTATAAATAAATGTACAATTTATCAATGTCATATCGGTTTCACTATCACCTTATCGTACAACTCGTAGTAAAAAACTATTAAAGCACGCCTTATCTTACGAATTCTTTTTGTTATTAAAAAGAATGTATGTATAGTATGACGAGTGTCAATTTAATCAGGGATCAAATGAAGAACTATTCAGTCAGGTAGTAGATTTTGTAGTGTTACTTAGATAATATTTGCACGCTACATATTACATAATAAATCCATTAAGTAGATAAGATGTCGTCAGGTGAACGTAGTTTGTAAAGAAAACTATTACTTAATGATACTATGACATTTTTAGAATTGCTGTTCATCATTTGCAGTCCGTCAAAAATGTTCGTTAGGGGTTCGGGTTGCCAGTCGCAGTTTTTTTTAATTAGATAGAATGAATGAATGAATGAATGATAGATGCTGCCCATCCCATGGGCCTCTAGAACGCTGAATGGGGTAGTAAATTCTCTCATGCCGCACCTACACGGGACGTTCCTGTGTACGCAGCCTGTACACTTATTTTTTATTCTATTAAAATTTAGGAGGGATTCCCGGCGTTGTCCCTAAACAAATGTTTGAAATTAGAAAAATTGAATTTGGTTCGGTAATACCGTACACAGCGCCGTTTTGCAAGTTTGTAAGATAATTAATATTGTAATGTTTTACGAATAAATCAATAATAATTAATAATAATGTGGCAACATACCACTATGAAATTGCACTTTATAGTAATTTTTAGTTTTTTATGAGCTGTGTAGACCGAATAAGCATATCTCTACTTTATTAATTGTGTGAAAAAACACGGCTTTTACATGTTATATACGACTTTTTTCTTTTCAGGCGTTGATGCAACAACTGCTGTCACAGTACCGTCTAGCGCAAGCGGCGAGAGCGCGTGCGGTTTGTATGCTTTTCCCCACCTATCCCTTCCAAAATGGCGGCAGGTTTTTAGGTTTTTTAAATTGTCACACGCAAAATCTGACCGTATTTATATGTGCAGGTGACGAAAAGCGAAGGTAGCAGCGCCAGTGGCGGAGAGAGCGCGGAGTCTCTCGCTGAAGATCTGCTAAAGAGGTTTTCGGACTCGCAGCCAGAGATCAAAAAGGAACCCTCCACAAGTAGGTATCAACGAAGAAACAAACTCCAACTCATTTAAACCTAGTTCGGACTAGGCTAGTAATTTAGCAGAGTAGCGAGTAATTTAGTGGCTAAATGTGTGCGAACCATAAAAAATTATTTAAGTAGTTTAGTGAATGGTTAAGTCGAGTCGATCCATTTTACTCTATTTTTATCGGGCGAGTAGCGCCTCCAACCATGCGTCCATGCTCACTGGTTCACCGGCTAAACAAGTCCGAACCTGTTGATTAGTCGAGTTAATTAGTTTAAAATTTGTTTACAATTATGTAGAACATCTTCTATCGATCCATATTCGTACTCATTACTTCTTTTTCTTAATCACACCAAAAAGTAAAAATCAAGATAAAGTAGTTTTAATCAGTAAAATTGTTGTTAAAAAACTGTATTTGTTAAAATTAAAATTTTATATCTTAAAAATCCGGACTTTTTTAAACCAATCACTTAAATATTTCAATCTTTTAATTGCATATTATCATTTCCATATGCTTTTATATGTGGCGGGCATTCCCCTTCCTCATCCACCTCTTCAAAAATAGCCATTACGATTAGCTTAATCAGTTCATTCACTCTATTGCGTTGCAGCTCGTTCATCTTGCGAAAGACCACTCACTTTTGTACTGGGACCATAATACGAACGATTTCTATGCAGTAGCGAGTAGTTTAGCCACTAAATCACGCGCTACTCTGCTAAATTACTAAAGTATTCCGAACTAGGCTTAAGGTTCGAAATTTTATCGGACAATATAACAACAGACTTGTTAGCTCTTCGTGAAATATCAAATGGATTTGAATTATATTGGTTTTGCGTGTTAGATCACTCGCTGAACTACATCTTTCATCAATCTGTGAACAGTTCTCTGCTATACTTCAGCCTCTCCAATATTTCAAAGGACTTGATCCATCTCTACACTTGTCAAACGAAGTGGCGATCATAAAAATACCAATGCCTCACCACTTTTGTGCTGCTGCCATTCCGGTCCAAGTAAATTGTTTGACATATTATATTCTTTTTTTTTAATTTACACCAATAACATCACACTAGGTATTTTTTCGTGTATTGTGGAGGGGTTTTACATACATAAAATATACTTGGGAAAACATCCAGACCAGGAACAATGATTTATAGAAGTGTTTTCATACGTCGTCACTATACCCTGTCCAATTAATTAAGTAATGCCAGGAAAGACGTAATATTATATACGTTAGAGATTACTGAAAACCATACTCGTACAGAAAGCGGCACTTTCCATGCTCAATTAACGTTTTATTTTTGCAAGAGCTGTGGCGAAGGAAGGAAAGGTGACACTGTTCTCATTTTTCTCAATGTTGTTCGTTTGGTCATTGATTCACGCCATCTAGTGAGTTGTATACATTAAAAACCATTTAGCCGGGAACCGGAAGAAGCGCTCAAGACACGTGCCGACTCCTATACGTAAAATTATGGCATATAAGCCTTATTTGCCTTTAAGAATAAAAGTAAAGTTTAGTAAAGTTACAGCCTTGAATAAAACTAAATTTACAGATTTTATCGCGTTTATTTCACTACTTTTACTTATTTTTTTTTAATTCCCGACTTTTCGGGTGCTTTTTTACAGCAACCGTGGTCACGGGGGGACTGAGATGTTTGACGTCCCAATGTCATAGTTAGTCCGGCTACCTTCAGTTTTTGAATATTAATTTTTGATCCGATTAATATTCAAAAACTGAAGGTAGCCGGACTAACTATGACATTGGGACGTCAAACATCTCAGTCCCCCCGTGACCACGGTTGCTGTAAAGCACCCGAAACGTCGGGAATTAAAAAAAAATAAGTAAAAGTAGTGAAATAAACGCGATAAAATCCGTAAATTTAGTTTTATTCAATGTGTAGTGTTCGCGTAAATTTAAGAAATAGTTACAGCCTATATACGTCCCACTGCTGGGCACAGGCCTCCCCTAATTTCTGAGAGGGATTTAGGGCAAGGAAGTGTCCACCGCGCTGCCCCAATGCGTGTTGGCGAACTTCACATGTCTTCGAAATATTTTTTTTTCTTATTCCTCAGATATGCGGGTTTCCTCACGATGTTTTCCTTCACCGCCGAGCACGTCGTAAATCAGCACTTAAAATTGCAATTAACAATTTCATTGGTGCCGGCGGGGATCGAACCCGGGTTACTCGCGTTCTGTTATAGTATCCGGATGACCGAGCTTTGCTCGGTTTTTTAAAATTACATTTAGATACAAATTACATGAATAATATTTTTTGATCTTATTGACATAATAGATCGATACGAACTGTCAAAGTTGTTTAGCAAACTGCAGTTTGCTAAACAATTGCAGTTCGTAAAAACCGGCACGGAGAAAGGGACAAACAATCACACTGCTCTGTCTCATTTCTATGCAAGACGTATGCATAAATCTATCTTTTTCGTGTGCGAATGCGAAAGAAGGCGTCAATTTGTCTATAGGTTTCTCTGTCTACGTGTGAATTACTGCAGAAACATTAAGTTTGAACTGAAAGGACTGTACCTATAATTGACCTTACGAGTAAGGTTTTATAAGATAACAGAACGTTAGGTTCTACTGTGTGAGTTATCCCCGCGGACGTCTCGAAAAATCCTTGATGTACAGCTTTCAAAACAATTTTAACTTTTATATTAAATGATTATATCACAAGTACATAATATGTAATAATGGTATTTTATTTCCGATTGTATGTAAATCATGCAAGTAAGCAGCTGACCCTTACACTAATGAAATAGTCGATATATTATCATTAAAATTCTTTGCATCAAGTGCTCTTTTGTAAAAGGAATAATTATGAAATGAGTAAGAAATAATAATAATAATAATGTCCTCCAGACCGAATTTCGGTCACGGCGGCCAGCCTCAACGGAGGCTAGCCATCGGCGCAGGACAGGATTATAGTGCCCAAGTGTGCAAGGCAAGCACAGGTGCACTCTCTATTCCCTCACTCCCATAATCCAATGGGACGGTAAACCGACACGACCGGAGAGAGATCAGGCGCAGGACCAACGGCTTTACGTGCTTTCCGAGGCACAGGTGTGTGACACCACCAACTTCCTGACTCCGGGCAGCTACTGAGAATTTCTTGACGGAAAAACTCAATAATTCCAGCCCGGCCCGGGATTCGAACCCAGGACCTCATGATCAGCAGTTGCACTAATACAACCACTAGACCAACGAGGCAGTCATGAGTAAGAAAATACGTTATTTAATGGATAATTGCTTTGGTTATGTATATTTTCAGTAACGCATAATTAATATTCAACCGTGTAGTGGTGGTGTACGAATGTTCACCACCCCATATTGTCCTGTGGGTGTCGTAAGTGACGACAAAGGGAATCTGAAATGGGAAGGCGGCATCTTCCTGATAATAGCTGAACAAAAATAAAAATTGCAGTTGCCAGCCTGCCAAATATAGCAAATATGGCAGAACTCTCTATTTGGGAAATATATAAGGAGGACCTACGTTCAGCCGTGGACTTTGTTGCAAGATTAATCTATCCATGCATTACAGTTAGGGTTGCCACCTTTTTATTTTGAACAAATATAGTATTTTTCCCAATAAAGATGCAAAAATATAGTACTATTGAAAAATTGAAGAGAGAAAAAAGGTACATATTTATTTTAATCTTTATGTATTTTTCTTATATATTTGTCATTGCTCTTTGCTTTGGCCATTAATGATCTGTTACATTTAAAATTATTATAGGAGTCTGAGCAATTTAGATTCATATTAAAATAATTATTAACAATTCATTTTTAATTAAATTAATATATTTCTTTCCCTAAAAATTCTTTCCGTAAAACTTCTTGTTCCAGATTTCCAATCACAGTTAGTATAAAAAAGCGCGACAGTTTAATTAGTGATAAAAATATAGTATTTTTGTACCAAATTATTTTTCTATAATATACAAGTGACTGAAATATAGTACAATACTATATGTATATTATGTACGGGTGGCAACCCTAATTACAGCCTATAAGTTTTTGTGTTTAAGTATATTTGAGCAACCTGTTTTTTATATTTGGTCTAATAATAACGCCGTCTTATAATAATAATAATACTATTGTATTTAACCGAATGAAGTTATTGTTTTAAATGTATACAAAAAATTCACACTGGTTACTTATTAGCTGTAATTATGATATAATATAGGATATAAATTTAATAATTTCCTTCGATTGACCAGTTTTAGCACGTCATGATTAAGTTGACTTTTTTTAAGACATGGCAAGACATACATACAGTCATTCAGTCGATAGTCTACTTTTTACTTGATTCTTAATGTATAATCATTGTTATTTTGAATATGTAAATTCCTTCGGAATTTTTCTCGTGGTAAACAGTAACTAGATGAAAATCTGTAATTGGTGAAATAATCATTTTAAAATAGTTATATTTAATTTGTGTATCTACACATGTGAGATGAAGTAGCGTCTATTGACGGTACCGCCAAAGGTAGCTGTTATAGTTTGACTATAACTACGACGTTATTGATATTTGAGCGGATTTATTAATATATATTTAAAAAAAATAGTATATTCCCGTTTATCTTGGAAGTGCACATAATCTAATATTCTTGTTTAGTTAGTTAGTTTTTCTTAGTTGTGGTCAAACGTGACTTACATTAGCCAACGTTTGACCACAATTGCATCTGATAGAAAGCGGAGGTAAGGCTGCAAATGTTTTGCGCACATTAGTCAGTTAAATTTGTAATTTGTTGTAAACATTTTACAAGGCTTGCGTTTTTGACGTCTGTTAGCTAATATGATACTTAACCTATAAAAGATTTTTAGGTAGGATATTTTTCATTTATCATCAGTCATCACTAATCAGGTCAAAATAAAAGGCATTTCTGTATTTTAACTGGATCTCATAATTTTAATGACTAGGGAGTAAATGTAAATTTTAAGCTAGAAGTCTTTGTTTCATATAAAAGTGAAGTAATAAAGATATTAATTAATTTGCAACCTTCCGCTAACTAAATACAATGATGTGTCTTACCTGGATTGAAGAGCACCTCCCGCCCTCCCTCAATTGCGTGCACCAATTAGGTCACCACTAATCCCAGCACCACTACTCCCGAAACCACTACTCCCAACACCACTACTCCCAACACCAATATTCCAGGAAAGACACACCATCGACGATAATACGATAAGTGTTTCGCCTCTACACGAGGCATCATCAGAATGGATTTCCGCAAAGTAACGCCTGATTCTATCAATTATCTTAAAAGTGAAGTAACAAACGGATTTTAATCACATGTAGTGGGCACATGCAGCCAACTTTAAACAAAGAAGACTGTGCAGAGATACGTTACAACTGTGACCCAAGTTGCAACGCCTCGCAACATGTAACTATAGACTCGCTATATCCTCGAGACTAAAACAGCAGGACCGGTACGGCTACTAAGCCGCAGAAATAAGAATCGAGGGGGAGGGCGTGTATCTAGCCAGCAGACTCCCGGGAAGAAAAGAAATCCTACAACATAGTAATATGTCCAAGCGCCACTTCTTTAAGGCAATAATTCTCAATGAGAGACAGAAGGAGACTATTGTCTGTCTCCAAGACACCATTAGCGACGGAATTTATATACAAATATATAAAAACCAAATGAACGGATACGTAGTTTTTAGTTCCGAACGCAGAGAGAAGCTAAATTTACCATTCGAACTGGACAAACAATGGAGCGAAATGTCGAACTATCTCGCAAGCATCGATTTAGAAGGTTTTAGACCTACCTCCATCATTATTGATTAATCAAACAATAGAACTAGAACCTTCGAATGTTACGGTTAGCACAACATGGTATAAAGTTCAATTTGTTAACACTACTTTATCAATACGCATGTTATACTAATTTATAGTTGGTTTTCTGGTCTTGGTGTATTTAAAATCCAAATTTTCCTCTAAATACTATAGCACGAAACGTATCTGGAACCTAAGAGGACATTAAAATTATTCACGAGATAAAGTGCATACAATTTTTTGCTACGTTACTTTGTAGAAAGTAGGCTGCTATGTCTATGATTAAAAGATATTTTAGGCAAATATAGATTAGGTTGAAAGGAGTTAATGTATTTTGATGTTAGAAATTTGGTAGATGAGTAAGAATATAAAAGATACTAAAGCAACGTGCATTCCGATGTGTTTGGATACCGGAACACATTGGAATGCATGTTTAATTTCATAAGACGACACTTGTTACGTTTCAGGGTTGCATACGTAGTGGTCGGTTTTATATCGATCAGTAAGATTCATGTATAGACAAAATTGAACGAATGATATTTTGAGTTTTGAATGAATGATTCGTTTTTTTTGAGGAACCTTTATACAACTTGTATACAGATAAGTAAACTACTAACAATTTTTATTGGGAGTAAAATAGTAAGTTTAAAAACTTCTGATCTGATCTAATGAATAATGATATTATTAATATGGCGCAAAACTGGAAACCGGCTAAATCATTAATATGACATCACAAATTTGCACCGTAGCTGCGGTGCATTTCGCGCTTTTTCCACTAAGCTGTATACTTGGCCTGTCGTAAGTTATAATTTTACGATGAAAACCCACGGTATACACAAACTGTTTGATAAATGCGATGGAATGATTTAGATGCATAAAAAAATCAAACTACATTAAGTTGTTCAATTTTCACGACTTATAACAAGACACGGCGTCATGGCAACGTCTTAAACGTTGTATGTAAATTTATTATTCCGCCGTTAAACGAGGTAAAGAAAAAAATACACGAAGGCAGTTTACAACATTCATTAATTTTTACACCTGCCTACATAATAGATAGTTTAATAGTCGATGGTCCCTAGACTCAGCAATAAATTCCTGTATAATGTTTTTATTCGGCTCTAATGGTTTTGATGAAATTTTGTATTTTAGATTATGTTTGCTTTCTAATGGTCAAATACTCAAACGTTACTCAATTTTAAGATGGCGTTAAGTCTCGTGGTGTCTCAGTCACTATGACATAAATTGATAGAGACAGGACACAAGATTCACACGTAGGCAATACACATTCACCTAGTGCCACAAACACTTAGGACAATGGATGGGACACCGCGAGCCCGCAGACTGGCGCGCCGCACACCCCTCCACACCGTACACCTGCGACCCTGGGCGGTTCTCACTGGCCAGAACTTCGTACGATATAGCCGTCGGAGCCGGGGCCCGCCACCACCTGTTCGGACGCCCGTTAGATAACTCACCAACGTGCACTGTCACAGGAGTCATCGTTACGCAAGTAACCATGCGGATTGACTTAAATTCAAGTTTTATAGCCTGCGGCCCTGGCCCTGATGAGACCTATGAAGCTGTAAAAGTCAAAAGTCTGACATCATTAACATCAGAAATCAGACAGATCACTAGACAGTTAACGGTATCTCAAACTTAGTAGCGTTAGCGGAATTGGGCAATAGCATAAGTTATCTAGATAAACTTTCTCAAGTATAACTATAATTTTCTCAAGAACGTGTGAATGACACGTGAATATTATATACCTATGTTTAATACGAGCAGTGCGATGCATCATAACCAGAACGGATGTTTCGCGTCAAGTATATTGTTGTAGTTGTCAATAAAGATTTTATAACTGCACGGCGCATCATGTATCATAGACTTAGAATATATACTAGCATGCTATATATTTTAGCTTATTTTGAAATATTTACTAAATTTAAATCTCACTGAGTCAAAAGTGACAGCCACTGTCATGTTTTAGCAATGAACAATGCAATATGGAAAGGCGTGTATGTTAGTTTCATGAACAATTATTATTGTAATTTATATTACATTGCGTGTATGAATTGTAACTTCATTTTAATCACTTTATTATTTCGCAGTTGGTAACTGCGTTTTTGTAGTATTATCGAACATACGAGTTGTATTTCATACACTATAGCTTAATTGTCTTTCTTCGATATTGTCATAACTCATAATGCAGATGGAATTGGTTTTAAGATATATTTTTTTATTTATATCTTAAAAACTTTTAACGGCACTTTGCAAAGGTGATATAGTTTTTTATATTTTTGTATTCTGACTCAATATCTTTTATCTGGTGTTGTTAAAAGAAATGATCGCGTACTAATAATAACCTTAGTTTTTCAATGATTGATTACGGTCTGTTGGCATCAATTATCCCAAAACAGGTCGTTCTTTAAATTTCGTTACAAAATAAACATTAATGATTTTTTTTATTTTTCTCCTTTAGCTTGAATAAATCGCATGTTTCAAATTAGATTTTGTACGTGACCAAGATCAAGTAATAAAGTAAAAGATGTTTAAATAAATTTAAATAATTGGCTAAGTTCCGCGTAATAAAATAAAATGATGTGTGGTTACCTAGTTTGAAGAGCACCTCGCCGTTATCCCCGTCACCACTAATCGCAGCATCACTGCTCCTAACACCACTGTCGATAATAAGACACGTGTTTCGCCTCAGCGAAGCATCCTCAGGTGAAGTGAAGGTGCGATCGTTGACCGCTAAAACTCCTTAGACATATTATTTTATTTTATTACGCGGTTTTTAGTTATTTATTATTTAACAACTTTATTCTAATGGATTTCCGCATGAAACGCCTAATTCTATTAATTATATAAATAATAAAAATTAAAGTAAGTTAACTGAGGTAGGTATAATCTATCATCCAAAACAAGATTTAGAATAGAAAATAAAACACGAGTGTTTTGAATTGAGTATTTATAATGTATCAATAAAGAAGGATCTGTATGTTTTATTTTATTCTCAGCTGAAAATACGAGCAACGGTAGCAATAGCAGCGAGGCGGTACTTGGTGGCCGACAACCCGTCGTCAAGCTCGAGCCGCTCAAAACTGATCCCCACAAACCTGTCACCTTCCATATCGGCATGAGCGCCAAACAGATACTCGACACTTGCAAGTATGCTTCGCGATTTTTATTAACTATGCATGGAGTTTTTAGTATTAAATATCAGCAAGGCATCGTCGTCGGCTGCATTAGGTTTGAGTGAGTACTGAGTAAGTATCTACTTCAATGTGAGCGGCATATTTCACTTGTGGCAGCGGCAGCTGCAGTTGGTGTCTTCTTCCTTATGAAGTGATGTTTCTTCAGTAATATAAATTTTGCCTTCAATACATAAGGCAAATGTGTTGGTGTGCGCGGAAACGATACCTTTGATTTGATAATATTGCTATTCTATCCCAGTCTGAGGTATCGAATATATCATCATTATCTATCGATCGGCCGAATAGTTTTTAAGGTGCAATTTAAAAATTATAAGGGTAATTTGGTTCCGGTGTAAACGAGATCTTAAACCACCATTTATCAGAAGCCATTATGATTTTTCTAGCATTTCCCATTGTCTTCTCTGACGATACCCACCAGATAGGTAAATTTTCTCTAACAACCGCAGCTGCATGCGGTGTACCTTGACCGACCGATAGTGGTAAATTAATAAAACCGCTCAAGAAGCCGAAATTTAGTTTTTGTGTTGGGATGTAGCATGGGAGGCTTAGGGGTTACCAACGTGTGGGTGTATGCTGACGCAATTTTAAAAAGGGCTATTCAATAGTAGCTTTGAAAAGCCCGCGGTGTGTGATTTGTGTACAGTGTAGTGTTAGTTTAGTAAGAGGTATTGGTTGTGTCGGCAGGGAGAACGCGGGCCCGGCGACGGCGTGGTCGGTGCTGGGCGACGGCTGCGGCGCGCCCGAGCCGCCGCCCGTGCCAGCACCGCGCCTGTCCGCCGAGCAGCTGGCGCCGCCCGCGCCCTTCGTCTACGTCGAGTCCAAGCGCGACGCCTTTTCGCCGCAGCTGCAGGACTTCTGCCTCAAGCACCCCATCGCCGTCGTGCGCGGCCTCACCGCCGCGCTCAAGCTCGACCTAGGCCTCTTCTCTACCAAAACGCTCGTGGAGGCGTGGCCCGACCACGCGGTCGAGGTGCGCACGCAGCTCATGCAGTCCGCCGACGAGAACTGGGACCCGAGCGGGCGGCGGCGCGTGTGGGCGTGCGCGTCGCACCGCTCGCACACGACGGTGCGCAAGTACGCGCAGTACCAGGCCGGCTCGTTCCAGGAGTCGCTGCGCGAGGAGCGCGAGCGCGGCGCCGTGCCAGCGCACTCGGCCGGCGCGCTGTCCGACTCGGACGGCCGCGAGTCCGGCGGGCCCGCCAAGCGCCGCAAGAGCGCGCGCATGCTCCGCTTTGGCACCAACGTCGACCTCTCCGACGAGCGCAAGTGGCGCCCCCAGCTCACGGAGCTGCAGAAGCTGCCCGCCTTCGCGCGGGTCGCCTCCGCCGCGAACATGCTCTCCCACGTCGGCCACGTTATCCTCGGCATGAACACCGTCCAACTGTACATGAAGGTGCCTGGCAGCCGGACGCCCGGACACCAAGAGAACAACAATTTCTGCTCGATAAATATCAACATCGGACCCGGCGACTGCGAGTGGTTCGGTGTTCCGGACGCTTATTGGGGTGGAGTTCGTGAGCTCTGCGACCGCCACGGTCTTTCATATCTTCACGGGTCCTGGTGGCCCGACCCGGAGGAACTTCGAGCGCACGGCGTACCCGTGTACAGATTCACCCAACGCCCCGGAGATCTAGTGTGGGTGAACGCCGGCTGCGTACATTGGGTGCAAGCTACCGGCTGGTGCAACAACATCGCTTGGAACGTCGGACCGTTGACAGCTCGTCAGTACACTCTCGCGCTGGAGCGCTACGAATGGAACAAAGTACAGAACTTCAAGTCGATCGTGCCCATGGTTCACTTGACGTGGAATCTGGCGCGAAATATTCGCGTTTCCGATCCGAGACTGCACCGTGCGATGAGAACATGTCTCATGCAGACTTTGCGGGCGGCGGCCGGCACACTCAACGTGGTTCGCGCTCGAGGTGTTCCGATTCGCTTCCACGGTAGAGCGCGCGGGGAAGCATCGCACTACTGTGGCGCGTGCGAGCGCGAAGTGTGGCACGCACTTCTCGTCCGCGAACACGAACGACGTCATGTCGTCCACTGCCTCGCTTGTGCTCGCCGAGTCAGCCCCACGCTGAGCGGTTTCCTATGCCTCGAAGAACACCACCTTGAAGAACTTGCGCAGGTTTACGACGCGTTCACTCTGCACCGTTCCGCTCCCCTGGCTGCACCCGTACAAATACCGTCACTCGTGCCTACTCCCGATTGATTTCCGTCCGCCCTATTGCAGGACTGGAAAGTTTCTACACTCCTGGATTAAAAAACTGAAACTTCGACGCTCGTCACTGAAACGCAGATCTCGTATTTATTCCGCGTTTCGATATTTTATATTATGTAGGTCGTTTTTGCACGATTGGACAGTAATACCCCTGGATATATTCGTTTGATCTTTAGTTTTAACCTCGACTGCCATTTATTTAATTTTGCATAACGTTATTCACTTACAGTTTTACATTTTACATAACTGTGTCTGTATTTTAAAACGTATGTATAATGTATTATATATAAGCGACCATTAGATTTAGGAGTACTGAAATATATGTTTTATTTTCGTGGCATTTCAGAGATTTTATATTTATCAATAGTATGATGCGATCCTGATGATGTACCTGTTTTTATTTTGTGTGTGTGTCTGATATTTACCGGTTTTATTTGTCGTTGTTCTTGTCTGTAACTGTACAACTTAATATTGAATTAGAATTTTATAATTTTTAATTCAGTATTGAACGCTAGCTTAGTTCCCGTAAATTTGTGCTTAACGATGTTATATTTGACCAAACGTGAATATTAAAGCGATAATTAACGATCACGATCTATTTTTAATACACGGCGTAAATATAAAAGAAATAGTAATTGTGATACGTATATTTTTGGTGAAAAAAGTAAATTGTAATGAAATAACTTTTTAACATTTACACGCTCCTCGATCACTTTTGTAATTGTGAGAGATATAATAAAATTGTGAAGTCAATTTTACGGTGACGGAAAGCCGGTAATATAAGCAAAAGTATATAGGTGATAGTTTTAATTGTTTAGCTAGAGTTTGATTAAGTAAACCGACAGGTCGATCCGCTAGGTCTCAAGTGCTCAGGTGTCCGTGTTCACCACAATAAATGTGTTATTTTTGTATAGAAACGTATTTATTTATTTTTTGTCATATTGTGACGTCCTTAGTTTCATTTACGATTTTTAGTACATTATTAGCGAATAGTAGGCTTAAGTATATGGCACGGATTGAGATCCTGCGTTTTAGGAGGGTCTATTGAATAGTGCTGCTGTGTTCCAAAGAATGTTATACACGTTTAAGCAAGGTACTATTGGAAAGCGTTCGAAACAATTCACAGTATGTTCACATATTTTATAGACATTGTCATATGCTTGGGATCTGAAAAAGTATTTCAATTTCGGATTTTTCGGCAATTTCGGAAACAAACAAAATCGATCAATCGGTGTCATTGGACTGTAAGAAATTAGGCTTTTTTTTGGATTGGTGTAGCATAGGAAGGATTAGCTGAGTAAGTACAGGTTTGGCAGTAAGCAGCCTGAATTCATTTCTTGACACTGCTGTTGGTTGTTTCCTTCGAAGTTTTATGAATTTGTTAGTGAGATTTCTATGTTGAATGTATTAATTTCTAGTGTCAAGGATAATTTTTGGCTGCGTTTGATAGGCGTTTGGGTGGGTCGAATTTTGTGTAGGATAAAACATTTGTATTTTATAAGTAATAATAACATCACTGCCATGTATGACCTTACTGTTTATATTGTAATAATACATTTTTATTAAAGAATTAAAGTACGGAAATTGTCCTTCTTTTATTATGTCTTTATGTTATTTAAAAAAATCGTGAATTATTAAATTATACAGGGTTACTGGGAACTCGACAACTTCCTAGCAGCGCGTGATATGGGAGTCAAAATACTTCAAATTAGAGAATATATGGGGGGGGGGGGGTCTAATATCATACATATGGGGGGTCTAATTATGAGGACCCCCATATGTATGGCCGAAAATAAACAGGTCTTGAGATATAAATTTTAAAGACTTCAATAATCACCCAGAATTTAGTATTCTAAATAAAAATTTAAAACCTTTTTTGTATCATAGACCTACCTATGATCTACTGCGTATGGACCTGGTCATTGAACAAACAAAATTGCATCAACTCATTGGTGCGAAAATGTTTATGGAGCACCAACGCGACCTCGTGTGTGTCCGTGCAGTGTTTCCACTTTTAGATATTTTGCATTATTTTAGGGTAAATCTACTAATATAGATAGGGCATTAGGCGTTTCTTCATGTTAACAGGGTTTTGGATAATTTGGGGTGAAATCGTACTTCAGGTAACTCTGTTTTCTATACTACCCAATTTTATTTTTTTAAAGATTTATCTGAGGGGATAGAGTCAAAAGAGCTAGAAAAGTGTTGAGTGAAAAAGTTTTTCATTCTGTATATCGGAATCATGGTATATTTTACTTAGTTACATATTCATTATTCAATGTTCAAAATTATGAGACAATGAAAACTTCATCTTCATCACCAAACTCAAGGGTTTTAATCGTGAAATGCTATTCAAAACTTGCAACGATGTTCTTTAACCTTTTGAGCGCCAGTCGCCTATACTTGACCAGCACCTGCGGGCCCTGAGCACTAACGACGTCTGTAGTTGACAAAAAACTGGCCCACAAAAATATGAATTTTGGAAATTTATTACTGGTATTTTAATTCTACACCTCAAAAATGAATAACCTGCTAAATGTGAGTATAAAAAACAAGTCTCTAAGAGCCACAAGTACTAAGAAACACTGAACTAAAAAAATGGATTTTTATCTAAGCAAATCGATGTCCAGCATGCCAAAGTCGTTTATGATTGACCGCTGGTGTCGAACGCGGGAGGCATAGATTTCTTGAAAACTATCCAAAATTCTGCTCAAAAGTGATATTTTTTATTTCTAATAATATTGATATTTGAATAAAACAAAAGGTTAGAAACATAAAACTATAATTAGCTACATGAATAAAAAAATGTTATCAAATCATCTTCGCATAATAAATCTAATATTTCAACTCTGGCGCATCAGCGCGTCATCGAAAATAGCGGTGGGTAGTAGCGGCTTTTTTGAATAACGAAACGAAACTATCTATCGAATATCAATAGCGGCTTTTGAAACACTATTTTAATAGAGGGTTTTGAAACACTCTATTATATATCTATATAGCGGCTTCAATAGAGTGTTTCACGACGTGTTTAATTGAAAAACGTTGCGAATGAAACGATGTCCGTTTCACGAGAAAATTGTTACCGTTTCGTATAGAATTAGACATGGTGTTAATGGTTAAATTTATTTATTTGTTTAATCATTTCGCACGGTTTGATAAAAATATCACTTGAAAAGATTTAATGGCAAACGATTTATTTAATAATTATGATTATGATAAATTCACCCACAAGTTCAGCATAAAATATTGAATATAAGTTTGTTTTTATAGCAAATAATTATTACAATGCTTATTTTTAGACATCTCAAGTCTACATTTTTATATAATAAATCAAATGAATACATGTATTGATGTTTTTATAGAATATTGGCCTTCATGGTTGTAGTATCTTTTGTAAAAAAGTCCCAAAGTACACTGGCATTACTTCGGAGATATTTTTGATAACTATCACATAAAGTTTTAGTATTATTTTTACACTTAGTTACACTAATTACTGTACAATTATTATTATTAACACTAATATATACAATTGTATTTAGTTCTTATTTTACTAAAAATATTATTGCACAAAAAAGAAAACAAAAATATTAACAAACGCGCCTAAAAAGTTAAAAACAAACCGTGTCATTAAACTTAAACACAAGACGAATTTATACCGGGCCAAGGCCACTTAAATTATGGAATTTGAACTATTTTTTGTTAAAAACATGCACACTTACTTTCTCATTTCTAATATCGCATCTATACGAAGGTAATAGAGTCATAGGTCAAATGCAAAATCACCCGCGCTCACTCGTCAACTCGACATTCGACGACCGGTGGTACTTCTACCACAGCGTAAAGAATCGGTTTCTTTACTCATGTGCTTCTACTTCAACAGCCGAAGCCGTCGCCGATGCGTCGCGAAAATAGCCGAATAAACGTTTTGTTATACATTTAACCCTAAGCCATTAATCAAATTTTTGTTAAAATTAATGAACATAACTGCACTAATCTACTTTAATTAACAGAATGCTTTAATGTCACTCTCTATACTATAGTGTCAGAAAAGTTATAGTATCAGACACGTAGACAGAGAAACCTATAGACTAATGATTAGCGTGGCCTCGAGTGAGAAATATCATATATACAGTTACTGATCGCTCGTTCGTGATTCGTGAAACGTGTTACTGAGTAAAACATCTACTGTAATAGAGAGTTTCGTTGCACTGCAATAACCCGCTACCCGCTAAGTGTTAATAGATAGTTTCAGTAACTAGTTACGTTTTGTAACGACCGCTCCTAGTCGTACAGTCGTGACAGTGACGTCAAATAATGTTATACACATTTAATGCAAGGTACTATTGGAAAGCGTTCGAAACAATTCACAGTATGTTCACATATTTTATAGACATTGTCATATGCTTGGGATCTGAAAAAGTATTTTAATTATAGAAACGAACAAAATCGATCAATCGGTGTCATTGGACTGTAAGAAATTATGTTTTTTTTTGGATTGGTGTAGCATAGGAAGGATAGCTGAGTAAGTTCAGGTTTGGCAGTAAGCAGCCTGAATTCACTTCTGACACCGCTGTTGGTTGTTTCCTTCGAAGTTTTATGAATTTGTTAGTGAGATTTCTATGTTGTATCTATGTTGAATGTATTAATTTCTAGTGTCAAGGATAATTTTTTGGCTGAGTTTGATAGGCGTTTGGGTGGGGATGGAGAGTTGTGCTGTGGTTTACTACTATTTTATTTTTTTTACTTTTTATTATTTAAATAATTAAATAATAAAAAGAGTGGAAGACAGCACAAGATTAAATAAAACATTTCAGATTATAAAAAGTCATATTGCATAAAAAACCAACAAAATCAAGTTATTTTGGTGTATTGATATATCAAATCTTGGCAACACTATTTTTTTTCGTAAGTATTTTTGTTTGCTTTTCACTTTGGCGTACAGGACACGGTAATGCGTTTTTGGCGTGACGCTCAAAAAGTTAAAATATTCA